GATTGATCAATATTCAGATCTATACCATAGTTTGTGAACTCTATAACTTTCCTACAAACTAAATAATACATCCTAATTTGGGTTATTTTCACCAAAGACATGTAGCAGAATACATCTCGTCCTAAATTTATGAAGAACAATTATTTATTTGTAAACTTTTATAACAGAAACAAAGAAAAATGTGATTTTTTTTTTTTTCAAAATTTTTGGTCTTTTTTTGTTAATTTAGCAAAAAATAAAAACCCCAGCGGTGATTAAATACCACCAAAAGAAAGCTCTAGTTGTGTGAAGAAAATGATAAAATTTTAGTTTGGGTACAATGTTGTATGACTGCGCAATTGTCATTCAAAGTGTGAGAGCGCTGAAACCTGAAAAATGGCCTGGGCAGGAAGGTGTAAAATTGCACGGTATTGAAACGGTTAAAGTATAACTAAAGGCAAACCTTTCTTATTAGTGTTGGATAGAGTGGAGATGGATTAGATCCCCTGTTAGGTTTTCATTGCTGTCTGTGCCCCTGTTATGGAGATTTACCCTCTCTATGTGTCCTGATTACTATTATTATTGAAAGTGAAAAGAATGAAAATCCAACATTTTGGGTTGTCCCCAGAAAAGTAATAGAGGGAAAAATGTAATTCTGGTTTCCAGGGGGTCCCCTAAGAGATTCCCTTAATTTGTAGGGATTTCCTCTCACTTCCTTTTTGGCTATGGGACAGGAAGTGAAGGGAAATCTTCCCAATGGGACACAGATGGCAAAAAAAACCCTGACAGGGGTTATAACCTTCCCTTAGGCCTTGTTCATACCACGTGAGTTTTTCTGCACATGTTCTGCAAAACCACAAAGAAAACAATTGCTCTCACCTGTAAGGACCCTTTTCACACCACAACACTGATATGACATGTGGATTTATTTCTACGCAGGAATCTGCAACATGTATAAAACTCACTAAACATGCATGAAAACTGATGTAAACTCATGCCTCTCCAAGTGAAATCTACACGTTTTTGCCAGCAGTTTTTCTGCATGTATGGTGTGAATAAGGTTCTTTCCAAAATGAAAAAAAAAGCTTTTCTTTTACCTTAGATTCACACCTAAGCATTTTCTGAAATATTTTTCAGAAACGCAGTACAGTCCATTTAACATGATTTCCTATGACATGTTCACATTTGTGCGTTTTCACCTGGTGCGGTTTTTGGAAAGGGTCAGGGACTTTTGTGAACGCAAAACGTTGCATTTTTGGTTCTATAGACTTCAATGGAAACACTGCAGAAAAGCATGTAGTGCATTTTTGCTGCGTTTTAAATCTGCCTAGCAACAAGAAAAAAAACGCAAAATGCATCAAAAACACGGCAAAAATGCAGGTGCGGAAACGCAACACGCAATGCAGATATGGCTCAAACACAACCTGCATAGGTGTGAACCTAGCCTACGTTCTACTTTAAAATACTGATCTACAGGGCTGGGACAAGGGGTGGGCAGGAGGGACAGCTGCCCAGGGCATAGAGAAGCAAGGGGGCAAAGAATAGATGTATGGTGGTACACCCATTCTATGACATGTATTAACAGTGGGCGAGGGGGGCGCAATTCTGGATTCTTGCCCTGGGCGTTGGATGACCCTGTCCCAGTACTGTTGATCTAAATTCCTGATGTGCATGGCCACACAAGCTAAAATAGAACTGCATTTAGAAGCATTCAAAATAAAAATGCTGTATGCCTGTAAAATTGGCATTTTTTTAAGCCCATGTGAATAAGGCCTTTCATGTTGCTATGGTCCCTCCATTTAACCCCTTGGTGCCGGCACCTCCTGATCCTTTAAGGAGTTTGTGACACTGGGAGGCGGGGGCTAGGGTCATGTGACACCGTTGATTGGCTGTCACATGATTGGAAAGGTCCCGATCGCAAGTAGCGATTGGGACCTTTCCACGAGGCACCAGTAAATGTGCTGGGAGTGCGCAAGGTGCGCACACTTGACACGTTTTTTATTCCTAAGTATGCAAATATGCAGCTTCTTGGCATTAAGGCCTAGCTACCGTTAGGCTAAATATTTGCGTACAGGCCACATTCATACTTGTGTGACACAATGTGTTTTTTACCGTCTGATTGACACATATGCGGTGCGGATTGAAGCTCCGGTTTCACAGTTAATTGATACAGTAGTTGTTCAGCAGTTCATGTCAGGTCAGGACAGGATCAGCTCAGGATTTTATCCTCTTCACACATGTGCGGTTTAGAAACGGTTCTCATAGAAGTCGATAGCCTGTAATCTGCACCTGACCCAGACCGCACTGCTCAGAAATCAAACAGCACTGAATCCGCACCGCCAGTGCACCGCAGACATGTGAACAGGCACCATAGGAAGCAATGTTATTTCATGTCATGCTGATTGGATACCGTTCAAACCAAATCCAATCCGCATACAGTTGTGCTCAAAAGTTTGCATACCCTGGAAGAAATTGTGAAATTTTGGCATTGCTATTGAAAATATGACTGATCATGGCAAAAAATGCTCTTTTATTGAAGGATGATGATCATATGAAGCCACTTATTATCAAAGAGTTGATTGGCTCCTTTTTAAATCCTAATGATAACAGAAATCACCCAAATGGCCCTGATCAAAAGTTTACATACCCTGGAATGTTTGGCCTTGGTACAGACACACAAGCTGACACACACGGGTTAAAATGCCAATTAGAGGTTAATGTCCCACATCTGTGGCTTTTTAAATTGCAATTAGTGTCAGTGTATAAATAGTCAATGAGTTTGTTAGCTCTTACATAGAAGCACTGACTAGGCTAGATACTGAGCCTTGGGGATCAGAAAAGAACTGTCAAAAGTCCTGCGTAACAAGGTAATGGAACTTTATAAAGATGTAAAAGAACATAAAAAGATGTCACAATTTCTGCCAGGGTATGCACACTTTTGAGCACAACTATATATGTGAACCGGCACTTACACACCGGTCGCATCAAACCCTACTTTGAAATCGTGCGACTTACAGTGAAGTCGCACGATTTCAAAGTCGGATGACATGCCGATTTCTTTTGAAATCGGTGCGGCTCCGACCAAGTCAGAAGCACACCAATATGACCGTTCTAATTATGGACAATAGGCTGCGATTTGCAATTCGCATGGCATCCAAATCACATGCCAATTCGCATGCAGAGTGACTGGAGTATTAGTGTGTTTGTCACAGGACAGCATAGAGCAGACCATTTTCTTAAATGAGCTTCCCTACACGTAACAAACGCGCCAAAGTAGCTCATATACCTTTTTTTATCACCGAGCCTGCTTTGCAAAACACGTGACAAAATGCATGACTGCTACTCATGTTTGGAGTGTCATTAATAATGGTACCGTAAGCATGATGTGTGTTTTTTGTGCGATTCTGGAATCCTGAGCAGAAATGCGTGTTTCTGGCCGCTTCCATAAAACGCTTGGGTGTGAATGCCACCCCATAGCCAGGGTTATACGCTTCATTGGATTACATCATTCCATCCACACTGATATTTTCTTCCAGACTCGGGCTCCTTTGATCATTTCCCCTTCTATAGATCTCTGATCAGATCCTTGGTGACCTCCTCTCAGGGATCTCTACTCTGGGCTGGCTTCCTCATCCAGATCCCTGTTATGGTGACACTTGCAATACAAACACAGCATTATTCTTATTCCTGGAGAACTACAAGGCTCAGCAAGCTCAGTTGCTGTGTCAGATTCTGCAGTGCGATCATCAGGACAGCCCCATAGTATGTAAACAGGATCTATATGTCAATAAAGGCCAACAGCTACTCAGTGACATGATACCATCGGCAGTACATGTCGCTTCTAGGCCGTTCCCCGCCGTTCATGTGTCCTTTCCCGGCCTTTTCTTCTGCAACGGCTGGTCCGCGCCCCTCTTCATGCACTGATTGGCTGAGAGATCCTCTGACTGACAGCTGAGTGGACATTCCGCTGCTGCTGATTGGACAGTTTTCAGTCCAGTCTGAGTCCTGCAGAAAGTTTGCGGGGATGCCTGAGAAGCAGCTTGTTGATTGGCTGGCCGTTGCACAAGTGTCTAGAATGAGCTGGAATATAACTGAATGACAAGGAACGGCATAGAAAGTTCGGAGGTTCCCATGGGGACAGCAGAACCTTTACGAGGACCGCGCTGTTATTGGATTTTATCTCTTTACAGTATATAGATATTTATCGCCTCACCATATACGGCTCTCCGTGAGTTCCTGGAGATTTCTAGACTCATCCAACATCGGACACAAACCCCGCCCCCTCAAAGCGCTGATTAGCTTAGTTGTCTGACAGGTCCACCAGGAACAGTAGGGAAGCTTCTCCTTACCCCGTCCCCTCGCAGCACTGATTGGCCAACTGTTGTCTGACTGACAGCTCCATCTGGGACGCTCGCGAAATTTCTCCTTACCCCGCCCCCTCGTGCACTGATTGGCCGGGCTGTTGTCTGACTTGTCAGCTCCATCTGGGACGTTCGCGAAACTTCTCCTTACCCCGCCCCCTCGCAGCACTGATTGGCCGGGCTGTTGTCTGACTTGTCTGCTCCTTCTGGAACACTGGCGAAGTTTCTCCTTTCCTATTGACGTAATTGACCAACCCACCGCCGCTGATTGGACAAAGCTCCCTCGGTCTGGAAGCCTCGGGAACGTTCTGCGGCTCAGGTGCTTCATGATTGGCTAGTTGTGCGGAGAACTCTCGGGATACTTCGGGAGAGTTGTTAGGCGACGTAAAGAGCATAGCGAGGACCTCTCTGCGATTGGCTGGAAGCGGCGTGACGTTCCTGCACAGGAGATGAATATATAGAAGCTTCGTAGAGCGTTGTGACAGTTCATACCGAGTCCAATATCGGCCATAGAAGTGTGCGGGGAGAAGAGAGCGGACACACAGCGATCATATCACAGCCTGCTACGTGTGATCACCGAGAAGAATCCCGCAGAGACCCCGACAGCCCAGCTCCTTCACTGCAAGACTTCATATTACTTCCAGCTGAGTATCCAGAGACATGGCACCTAAAGGAGTGGCGATTGGCATTGACCTGGGCACCACCTACTCCTGTGTGGGGGTCTTCCAGCATGGCAAGGTGGAGATCATCGCCAACGACCAGGGGAATCGCACCACCCCCAGCTACGTGGCCTTCACTGACACCGAGAGACTGATCGGAGATGCTGCCAAGAACCAGGTGGCTCTGAACCCCCAGAACACCGTCTTTGATGCCAAGAGGCTGATTGGCCGGAAGTTTGATGACCCCGTAGTGCAGTCTGACATGAAGCACTGGCCTTTCCAGGTGGTGAGCGAAGGAGGAAAGCCCAAGGTGAAAGTGGACTATAAGGGAGAGATGAAGGCTTTCTACCCCGAGGAGATCTCCTCTATGGTGCTGCTGAAGATGAAGGAGACAGCAGAGGCGTACCTGGGCCACCCGGTCACCAACGCTGTCATCACCGTTCCTGCCTACTTCAATGACTCTCAGCGCCAGGCCACCAAGGATGCCGGGGTGATCGCTGGGATCAATGTGCTGAGAATCATCAATGAGCCAACAGCAGCAGCCATCGCCTACGGCCTGGACAAAGGGGGCTGCGGAGAGCGTAACATCCTCATCTTCGACCTGGGAGGTGGCACCTTTGATGTCTCCATCCTCACTATTGATGACGGCATCTTCGAGGTAAAAGCCACAGCGGGGGATACTCATCTAGGTGGGGAGGACTTTGACAACCGCATGGTTAACCATTTTGTAGAGGAATTCAAGCGCAAGCACAAAAAGGACATTAGCCAAAATAAGAGGGCCCTGAGAAGGCTGAGAACAGCTTGTGAGAGAGCCAAGCGCACCCTGTCCTCCAGCACCCAGGCAAGCATTGAAATTGACTCACTCTATGAGGGCATTGACTTCTACACCTCCATCACCAGAGCCCGCTTTGAGGAACTCTGCTCTGATCTCTTCCGTGGTACCCTGGAGCCCGTTGAGAAGGCCCTGAGAGACTCCAAGCTGGACAAATCACAGATTCATGAAATTGTCCTGGTGGGGGGCTCTACACGTATTCCCAAAGTGCAAAAACTGCTGCAGGACTTCTTTAATGGAAGAGAACTGAACAAGAGCATCAACCCAGATGAGGCTGTGGCCTATGGGGCTGCTGTTCAAGCTGCTATCCTGATGGGAGATAAGTCAGAGAATGTAAAGGACCTGCTCCTCCTAGATGTGGCTCCTCTGTCCTTGGGCCTAGAGACAGCTGGTGGTGTCATGACTGTCCTCATCAAACGCAACACAACCATTCCTACCAAGCAGACTCAGGTCTTCACCACCTATTCAGACAACCAGCCTGGTGTCCTCATCCAGGTGTACGAAGGAGAGCGAGCCATGACGAAAGACAACAACCTCTTGGGTAAATTTGAACTGAGTGACATCCCCCCTGCTCCCCGAGGGGTGCCACAGATTGAAGTCACCTTTGACATTGATGCCAATGGCATCCTCAATGTATCAGCTGTGGACAAGAGTACCGGCAAACAAAATAAGATAACAATTACAAACGATAAAGGTCGTCTGAGCAAAGAGGATATTGAGAAGATGGTGCAAGACGCAGAGAAATACAAAGCTGATGATGATGCACAGCGAGAGAAAATTGCTGCCAAGAACTCTCTAGAATCTTATGCCTTCAATATTAAGAGCATGGTGGAAGATGAGAACATGAAAGGCAAAATAAGTGAAGAAGAGAAAAGGTCCATCTCTGAGAAGTGTAAAGAGACCATTGCTTGGCTGGAGAACAACCAACTAGCAGAGAAAGAGGAGTACACCCATAAGCAAGAAGGAGCTGGAGAAGGTGTGCCAACCCATCATTACCAAGTTGTACCAGGGAGACATGCCAGGCCTAGCTGTGGTGCCCAAGCCAGGCAAGGCAAACAGCTCAGGACCTACAATTGAAGAAGTAGATTAAAGGGGACACTGTTTAAGAAGACTGTACGTTTACTGCACTATGGGTCTGTGTGCCAGTAATATAAGCTAAGTACTTTTGACACGTTTATAAAGACTTTGCCAGGATGTAGACATTCCTTACCAGTTTATTTTTGTTTACTGTTTACTCTCCATTCTTTTTGGTTTTCACCTTTTTGTGCTTACTTGTGTGCATGAATAAATGGTGCACAAAATTTGAAGTGTTTATAGGAAACATTTCTTTAAGTTTTGTTATTTAATAAAATGTTTCTAAAATATAAATAATTTCTGATATCCTGTTTGTACAAATCATTTTTAGTGTTCAAATAAATACAGATTTGGGTGGGGAAGGGACAAGGGTTTAAGTCATATTTTTTTCCTCAACTTGGTGATGGGAAATTTCTCCAATGAGCAGAGCAACAAAATATGTTTAGGTTTTACTGCTGTCTGTGTTACACTGTACCAGTGTCCTTATTACTTTTCCTTATAATCCTGGTGTCTCTGGAATAGATAGGGAGAGAACACAAGAGAAGGGCACCAGACAGCAGTACAAATCCTTTAAAATTGAATGTATTAGTTGAAGGTCAAGTGTATGCATACTCTAACAATGAACTTCTCTTCTTTGCTGCCTTTTGGTCTGTTTAATAAACTATCAAACACATTCTTATAGCTGTTTAAATATGTGCTAAATAGAAAAAAAAACAGTTGATCCTGCCAGAATTGCAGTGCTGTTCTTTGCATTATGCATTGTTATCAGCACTTCTCAGGTTGCCAGAAAATCTCCCTCCTATATTATGGAAAGGGGGAGGTGTCCTGTCCTAGGGTGACAACACTACTCCAAAGTACAGTAAAGTGAGTGTTGCCACCCTATGACAGGAACTGTATTACTGGCAAGCTGATCAGGTGAAAAAGAAAGTACAAAAGAAAACTAATATAGCCACCACATCTAAGGGCTGGTATGCTTAAATACACTATGTTTTCAAATGTATTGGGACAGTCCTCCAAATCATTGGATTTAGGTTTACCAATCACCTCCATGGTCACAGGTATATAAAATCAAGCACCTAGGCATGCAGACTGCTTCTACAAATATTTGTGAAAGAATGGGTCGTTCTCAGGAGCTCAGTGAATTTAAGCGTGGTACCACGATAGGTTATAGAATAGGGAAAACCTCCCGCACTGCTACTACAATACTAAACTAAACCCTATAGTCTAGGAAAGCAGCAAGCACCCAGCTATATAACCAGATAGTGAACATGCAACAAAAGGTGTGTGGGGGGAGGTGCTGCACTAACGTATCTAAATTAACTAAGAAAGGTTGGAAAAATGGATAACCCACAGAGACCGTAACACATGTGCACATATTGCACAGGTGGCAACCTATCATGGTACAAAAGGGGGGGGGGGGGGGAAATGCTGAGCTATGGAATCTAAATGAACTAAGAAAGGTGGGAAAAATGGATAACCCACAGAGACCGTAACACATGTGAACTACAACTTAAACAGCAAAAATACCATGAGTGTGCTAACATACGTGAGAACAACACAAACACGTTCTGAACTCAAGACATGTGCCATAGTACTAAAAGTGAACTGTATATATGAATAAAGTGGTAAAATATATGTTAATAATAATAAACTGGTATAAGAATAATCAATACAGAAAGAGCCCAAAAGTGATATATAACAGTGCAAAATTAAACGTGGATGACATGAATGTCAGGGAAGAATGTAAATAGATGATGAGTGAAACATAAACAAAGAAATATACATAGCATAAATAATGGCATAAATAGTGCCAGAGAGGTGTGAATGAGCACAAATATCACAAGTGCACTACCATATGTGAAAACAAACACAAATTAACACATCCTTAGCTCAAGACATGTACCGTAGTGATAAAAGTGAACTGTACATAAGAACCTGGAAGAAATAATGTGAATAGATGGTAAAAAATATATATATATAACTTATATGAAAACCGGCATAACAATAATCAATAAATGAAGAACGCAAAAGTGATATATACCAATGTGAGACTAAAAATAAAGGTCACAAAAGAATATAAATAAATAGTGGACGAAAGATAAGCACAAAAAAAACACATCATAAAATTGGCATAAATATTGCCACAAAATGTGAATAAACACAAAGGATGGTGTAATAGTCCACGATACACTAATACATGTAAAGTCCAATATTTAACTTCCCAAATAAACCTGATGGGTGATAGTGATCAACTTGACAAGAGATCCACCACCGGCTAAATTGCCTCCTTACCTCCAAGCTGCGACCCCTAGGGGCCAACGCACTTCCAAGGCACTCAACACCAAACAGATCAGCATCCCATGGGGGCCTTACGCACTAATCAAGGAACCATCAACAGTGGTGGTATCCCCCTCATGGAAAAAATGTACCACACAGCCACTCAAACGATCCCAAAAGAGGAGAAAAGGAGCACTTCCACAGTGCAGTAATTAATATAATTTATTGAGCAGCATATTGCCAAATGCCCACTTACATCAAATAAAAGGTATAAAGAGCTCAGAACAGCATTTAACAGTCTGGGGTGTACTTGCATGGATGTAGCAAGATGGCAGCTGCCGTCCACGCCGAATGTCCACGCCACCACGTTTCTGTCCTACGCAATGTGTCACGACCCTGAAGAAGTCACATGTGCGGTGCATTTTTTTCCGTGAGGGGATACCACCACTGTTGTTGACGGTTCCTGGATTAGTGCGTAAGGCCACCATGGGATGCTGATCTGTTTGGCGTTGAGCGCCTTGGAAGTGAGTTGGCCCCTAGGGCCAACTCGCTTTTATCACTACGGTGCATGTCTTGAGCTGAGGACATGTCCATTTGTGTTTTTCACATATGGTAGTGCACTTGTGATATTTGTGCTCATTCACACCTCTCTGGCACTATTTATGCTATGTTTATTTCCTTGTTTATGTTTCACTTATCATCTATTTACATTCTTCCCTGATATTCATGTCATCCACATTTAATTTTGCACTGGTATATATCACTTTTGGGCTCTTTCTGTATTGATTATTGTTATACCAGTTTATTATTATTTTTATTTACATATATTTTTACCACTTTATTCATATATACAGTTCACTTTTAGTACTATGGCACATGTCTTGAGTTGAGGACGTGTTTCTATGTGTTTTCACATATGTTAGTACACTTGTGGTATTTGTGCTGTTTAAGTTGTGGTTCACATGTGTTTACAGTCTCTGTAGGTTATCCATTTTTCCCACCTTTCTTAGTTCATTTAGATTCCATAGCGCAGCATTCCCCCCCCCCCACCCCCCTTTTGTACCATGATAGGTTGCCACCTGTGCAATATGTGCAATAAGTCCATCTGTGAAATTTCCTTGCTACTAAATATTCCATGCTCAACTGTTATTATAACAAAGTGGAAGCAACTGGGAACAACCGTAATTCAGTTACGAAGTGGTGTCGATGTAAAATAAAATGTAGAGCGGGGTCAGCACATACTGAAGCGCACAGTGTGCAGAAGTCACCAATTGTCTGCAGAAGCAATAGCCAAAGACCTCCAAACTTCATGTGGTCTTCAGATTAGCACAATAGCAGTGCATAGAGAGCTTAATGGAATGGGTTTCCATGTCTGAGTAGCTGCATCCAAGTCTTACCTCACCAAATGCAATCCAAAGCATCGGATGCAGTGGTGTAAAGCACGCTACAACTGGACTCTAGAGCAGTGGAGATGTGTTCTCTGGAGTGATGAATCATGCTTCTCTGGCAATCCGATGGACGTGTCTGGGTTTGGTGGTTGCCAGGAGAATGGTACTTGCCTGACTGCATTGTGCCAAGTGTAAAGTTTGGTGGAGGGGGATTATGGTGTGGGGTTGTTTTTCAGGGGTTGGGCTTGACCCCTTAGTTCCAGTGAAGGAAACTCTTAAGGCGTTAGCATACCAAGACATTTTGGACAATTTCATGCTCCCAACTTTGTAGAAACAGTTTGGGGATGGCCCCTTCCTGTTCCAACATGACTGCGCACCAGTGTACAAAGCATGGTCCATAAAAATTTGGATGAGAGTTTGGGGTGGAGAAACGTGAATGGCCTGCACAGAGTCCTGACCTCAACCCGACAGAACATCTTTGGGATGAATTAGAGCAGAGACTGCAAGTCAGGCCTTCTCATCCGACAGTAAGACCGTACCTTTTATTTGCCCTGACCAGCACTACAACTATCACTACTGTAATTAGCAATACCAAGCAGATTTATCCATTGCTGGCTATGTGGACATGAATGTTTTAGCTCCCTGGATGAACTAGCACAAAAGGTGAGCTTGGAAATTCCATGTATAGCCATTGATCTGTTCAATTGCTGGATGGACATTGAGGCTGAGTTATTGTGCCCTCTACTTCAATGTGGACTGGCTACGGACTTACAGACTAATCTGTACAGCCATTGTTGTGTTACTAAATGGGCAATTTGTTATCTCAACGTTGGCGGATTTACCTTACATCAGCCAAGCTGGTGCTATCCATATGATTATATACTCCCAGGTCAAACAGTGACTCTATACCAGGTCGAACTGAATTAGGATTACCAGCTATACTACAGATGTGCAATATGGCAACTACTATCTCTCCAGCAATTTTTTGGTCCCCCTCTAGTTCCCATTCTTGGACTACTGCCGGTGACCTTGGGACCGCTCCTGATATCTCCTGTGGTATTCATCACGCAGGGGGACAGCTCTCCCTATTTAGCATCATCATTACAACCACCTACTGCCAATGGGCCCTGGTATGTATATATATATATATATATATATATATATATATATATATATATAGTGTGTGTGTGTATATATATATATATATATATATAGATATATACAGAATCCTCACAGAAGTGAGTCCACCCCTCACATTTTTGTAAATATTTTATTTATATCTTTTCATGTGACAACACTGAAGAAATGACACTTTGCTGCAATGTAACTGGTCGGAAA